TTGTTTTGTTTTGCTCTCCACAATGCAAATTAAACAGCAAACTAGCCTGACTTTAAGAAGCTTTCAATAGGGTCAGTGCCTTAGCAGATTCTTTGGTGGAGCTGGTGGATACAAATGTATAAATTTACACCTGTCTCTGTATTTAAGAATACCCACCCTGCTTGTTTTCTAGGTGTGTGCCCTTGCATGTACATGTGTGCACACAGATACACTCAGGTTAATAGTTTTTGAGAAAGTAGATGTTGGGTTCAGCTGCTGCTAACTCCCCACATTTATATTACTATGATTAAAACATGTATTGACCATGTATTACTGATGGTGGGCTGGCCTTCTCTTCTTTGAAATGACCATAAGAATAAGTAATAATAGGGTCTCATTCATTTTTGTTTAAGAATGTTTTAAATTTGCCTTATTCTGAGCATTCATGTGATAATATATCCCCATGTGTTACCTGCATGAAGGATCCAACAAATACAAAGAATTCAAAAAGTTTGAAGTTTTAAACCCTATGAAGTACATAGTTTTTTTACTTAACAATTTATTTCTTGGAATGAAGTCCCAGAATATAGAAGGAAAAAATACTCTTCCCTGAAATAAAAGGACTCTGATTGGACGAGATATCAGAAAAAATATAGGAGGTATATGTTTAATTTCCTGAAATATTTAGTGGAGTGGCAGGAATTTAGAACCATATAAAAATTAAATCCCGAAAGATTATGGCCTGAGTACAGCATGCCTATTGTCGGAATTATAGAGGTCAAGTTAGTGATACACAAAATCATAACCAGATTTACTTTTGGCTGCTTCCTTTACTGGTTTTCATGCTAGGATTCTGGCATTCCACTTCAGATATTTGTTCCAGCTATTTCACTCAAAACTCAATTTAAGTAAATTTACTCTTAATGAATATGAATTAATTAGTGGGAAAATATTGATATACTTCCAAGCGTACAGTAAATTCAAACAGAAGATTGTGTTCCGGGGAAACTTGCTCTAAGTAAAATGATAGGTCAAATTACATTTTTAAATATGGAAACAGTGTTATAAATGGGATCTCAGACTTTTTTTTTAACATCTTAATTGGAGTATAATTGCTTTACAATGGTGTGTTAGTTTCTGCTTTATAACACAGTGAATCAGCTATGCATATACATATATCCCCATATCTCCTCTCTCTTGCATCTCCCTCCCACTCTCCCTATCCCACCCCTCTAGGTGGTCACAAAGCACTGAGCTGATCTCCCTGTGCTATGTGGCTGCTTCCCACTAGCTATCTATTTTACATTTGGTAGTATATATAAGTCTATGCCACTCTCTTACTTCGTCCCAGCTTACCCTTCCCCCTCCCCGTGTCCTCAAGTCCATTCTCTACATCTGCAGGATCTCAGACTTTTTATTTTATTTTATTTTATTTATTTATTTATTTATTTATTTTGTGATACGCGGGGCTCTCACCGCTGTGGCCTCTCCCATTGAGGAGCACAGGCTCCGGACGCGCAGGCTCAGCAGCCATGGCCCACGGGCCCAGCCGCTCCGCATCATGCAGGATCCTTCTGGACCGGGGCATGAACCCGTGTCCCCTGCATCGGCAGGCGGACTCTCAACCACTGCGCCCCCAGGGAAGCCCCAGGATCTCAGACTTTTTAATCAAAGTCTGAATGCCTAACTTTTAAAAGAAAAAAATCGCCAAAACATAGTATATAACTTTCTATTTTCCAGGCTTGGGTCTAGTTATAAGGGAATTTTCATTTACCTGCTTAATCTGCCTTTCTTTCTTGGTCTCCTTGGTACTAGGTGTGCAAACTACAGCCCTAGGGAGTGTGATTCTTTATTAAATGTCTTTCAGACAGCATGTATTTCCTGCATAAGAAAAGACATTGATTCCAATGTCAAAGAAATCAGGAAAACTAACAATTTATCTTGTATGCCTAGCTGTGCTTACTTCCGGGAAATGAGCAGTGATAAAAAGGAGGTAAAAGGAAATCCTTTGATCAGCTTTTCAGAAAGCCACCAGCTGCTCCTAAATCACACTTAAGTTTTTTTCCAAAAGCTTTCCAAAGAGGTTACTTTGAATTCTGGAAAGGGCTTTTTAGGTTACTCTGTGAAGTTGAAGACACGCTGTGTATTACACTAATGCCATGGCATCGATGCTATCAGCAGCAATGTTAGATTTTGCCCTGCTTTATATTACACGTATCCATACATTGCCCATCTGGAGCTTGAATCTGTAATACGAAAGGGACGCAGGCCCTTTGATGGAGAAACCTGTAATAGAAAGTATATGCCGGAGAAACAAATTTTGAAAGTTATAGTAGATACAGGAAACATTGATTATAATTTTCTTTCAATAATGGGCTAAAGTATTGATGGGAAGCCAAAAAGGATGCTTCTTATTTCCTCCTGTGCTGAGACTGGGAGCACCGAGGGACAGCAAGAGTTTAGAAAAAACAGCTAATGTCTGCTCATCCAGTAATTTTAGGCAGGCATTTATTTGTTGGATAGAATTCAATTTGACCCCAAGCTGCATGGGCACCAGAGCTTTGAAACTGTGATTCAGAGTAAAGAAGGGCTCATTCTGTTGACATAAATTAGGTTTTAGATAAAGTCCTGACAGGAGAAACATAGTCTGTTAATCTGTTAAACAAAATTTTGCTCTTTAAGACTATATTCTTCTTTAGTTGTTATGCTACTTAGTAGTTTTTTTTTTTTTTTTGAGATATAGCCAGAAACGAATATGCTAAGTTATCCTTCGGACTGGAAAAATGACAAATGATTTTACATGATTATAAGTTTCTATGTCAGACATCTCTGGTAACTTTGAGAAAATCTGTGAGAAGAAAATAAATTGGTTTCTGAATACCAAAGTTACAGACTTTAAGCTTCAAAAGTTTCCCAGTATCTCAAAATCTTTCATATGTTGTTGTGTCACGTGAAGCCAACTCATTTCCTGGAAGAGTAATCAGTGGTGTCCATTGGGTTATCCATGGAGCTTAGAATTATGTTTACAAAACAAATTTTGGGTCAGGAAAGAGCAGAGACCAATTAACACTGGCCATAGGAAAATATTTTAATTGCAACAGTCGTAAAACCAGTGTCCATTAAAGAGAGAAACGGTACCCAGTTGACAGTGCATCTGGGTGTGACCCTAACCTGACATGTGCCAGAGGTGGCCCTTTAGGTGCCAGTCTTTGGAGCACATGACACATAGGAGTGAGCTGTGAGCAAAGAAAAAGGGAAGGAGCTACTGACATTGCTTTCCTTTTTCCAAAAAGTATTTTTGGCAGTGTAGACTGTGTCAGTGTACCTTACCAGATTACAAACCATATATTGTTATTGTGTGTAACTTGTAATATGATGTAAAACATTATATTGGACCAACCAGTGAAAACAATTCTGCTCCTCATGGACAAGTGGACATACTTCTGTGATGAGTAACAGCTCAGTTTCCATAGAATGTTCCCTGGTGTCAAAAACTTAATGTGCTTTGACTTTCACTTTATTAAGTGAAATGGGAAGTTTCTAATATATTTGTGGGATGCCTCAGGTCTAGAACTATAACAACTTTTTAAATGATAGAAATATATTTATTACATAGATAAGTACACTGTATTTTACTGATGCCTCAACACTTGGCCACAAAGTTTTGCCTTTAGTGTTTAGTATATTCTGTGATGATAGCAGTTACACTGTGCAGCACAGATAATTTAATCTAGTCAAAGAAAAGCCTTAGTCTTTAAAATATGTTGTGTGTATAGCAGTACATTGCTGGAAAAAATGACTAAGCCTTTCCAAAAATGTATTAATTGATGAAACAGTAATCTCTTTAGGCTTAAACAGAACATATTATTGCTATTTTAAAATTTGAAGATATGATTTTTTCTTCATATATTTGAATTTTATTTTTAAAACTCTAAGAAGTGGTGTCTAACTTCATTTTAGGTAACACTTTAAAAACAAGCTGTTGTTTCATAAATGTTTGCTAGAAATAAAGCGGGTCAGTAGAATGTTAGTTTATTTTGAGCTTTCTAAACCTGGAAATTTGGGAGCCCAAGTCACATCCTTGAAGCAGCAGAATTCCTGAGGCTCCACTGGGAATGTGCACATCCTCCCAGGAGTATCTTGTTCTAGCTTGTGTGCCATTTGCAAACCAGACTTGTCAAAGAGATGGCCCATGAATTCCAGTAATGGAAACTGATAGGCATCTGCTGAAAACCTTTGTACCCAACACAGGAACCAGATGGATGGAAAGAACTCAAAATTCTCCCAAGGAACTGTTTCAAGTAGAACGGCATTGGGCACGTCTTCAAAACTGATCTAAAGGCCATCAACGGGAATGAGAAAGAAAGTAGATATGCTTTATATATATAAAAATATTTTATTTATATATATATATATATATATATTTAGTTTTTAGATAAGAGGTCACTTACAAGCCAGAATGAAATCTTTTCCATGAGACAGTGCAGGTGGGTGATTAGGTGTGCAGAGAGGAAGCAGGTGAACTTGAATTCCAGGTCTATACCCCGGTTCTGTAATCATTCGTAAGAAGATGGTCATAATAGTTGTATCTCCCTGATGGATTTGTTGTGAGAACAGTGCCTGGCCCATAGACAGCCTGTGTCAGACTTTAATATTATGCCCAGAGGTTTAAAAGAGAGAAAATAAAATGAAGGACACGAAGTGGCACGTGGGAAAGCATGGGCTGTGCAGTCTGAGAGACCTCCATTCAAATCTTAGGTGATGCTCCTAGTTGGTGACTGTGAGCATGCTACCGAACCGCTCAGAGCCTCTATTTTCTTATTTTCTGAATGCAAGTACTAGCCCTGGAGTTGGGAGATGAAGGATGGGTGCGAAGCCCCCTGTACCCCTGTACTTGATACACATTCAGCATTAGGCTGCCTTTCCTCCCAGCCTAGAACAAGTTGTTAAAAAAACACAAAAATTTCTTTATTCACTTGTTTTTTGTGGCTAACAAAATTTATTCTGTGTATTTCTTTTAGGGCGAAAATGGTTTACATGGAGCTCCAGGCTTACCTGGTCAAAAGGTAAAGAGATTTTTAATGTTTCATATTAGTTAAGAACTTTAACATCTTGAAAGTTGAATGTGTACATAAATATAGTGAAGATTTAGAAAATGTGTTTGATGAAATTGAATTCCCTGAGTCAACCAGCACTTGAACCTCCTTTCCAAAGAGAGCCCATGGAAGCGATCCCTTCTCAAAGGACCTACTTTAGGAGGGAGCTTTACCGGAGAGGTTTAGCCACATGCTTCTCTGGAGAAGTGGGCAATGATGCTTCATGGGGGCCCGGGGAGTGAGCACAGCTGCTCTGGGAATGTTTTCACTGTTGAGTCTAAAATGAAGACTGGAACAGGCTTTACTACCTTTGACAGTGTGTGGTTACTTCTTTTCCTTTTTGTATATCCCAGATTGAGCTAAACATAATGGTTACAATGATATAAAACATTAAATATTACAAAGATGCTACAACTAATCTCTTCAAAAAATTCTTTCAGAATGATAAATTCATAATCAGTAGGGATTTTTGCATTGGCTAGGGTGCTTCTTTCTGGGCCTAGAATCTTTCTCCTTACCAAGGTAAATTTCATTTCACCCCTTTATTGTCCATGGGCTGATTTTTCCTCCTGGGAAGAAATATGATTGTAGGTGACCAGCATTATTGGAAACACAGAGACTGGTTTATTCCAGTTTCCTGAAGGGATAGGGAGCCCCTGCAGGTGGCGCCAGCTGTCATGATACCACCCAGATAATCCCGCCACAGGGGAGAGCATTATTGGTGCAATATTAGATGCCCACCAAAGCCAAGCATATCATTTCTATGCTCTGGAGAAGTTTTACAGATCTTAGCAACAGGAAGTCAGAAGTTACTGTCGCATCTAGGTTTTGCTCTGTAGCTAAAAATTACCGTTAAAAAGATATGCACGTATTTGTAGTTACAGCTTTTGAAAAATCTTCCTTTACTTACTTGATGAAGATACTAAGATTGAACTGGCAGTGATGAAATGGCAAGCTTCTGCACTTCTTCACAGCAGTTCTAGACAAAACCCATTGATACAGCGGGTGCTGCATCTGTGAGTCGAGTTGCCAGCCAAGGGATGTGTAGATTTATCTTCTGGGAAACAGTTTAGGACCTTCCAGCAGCTGTTTATGGTGGCTGCCTCATGCTGGCATTGTGGCCGACGTACTGCGGTGTTCAGCAGCTTTGTGTCAGCTTGAATTAACAGATCAAGTTAAAGTCTATATTTTAGGAAAAGTGGTAGGAAAAAGATAGACCACACATTCAGTGGCAAATATACCCAAATACTAACTTACTTTCTTTCCTGTACCTTTTTTGAAGGTAGATAAAGCAGAAGTAATTATTATTATTATTTTAAATTTAATTTATTTTATTTTGGCTGCGTTGGGTCTTCGTTGCTGCGCGTGGGCTTTCTCTAGCTGCAGCGAGCGGGGGCTACTCTTCATTGCAGTGCGTGGGCTTCTCATTGCAGTGACTTCTCTTGTTGCGGAGCACGGGCTGTAGAGCGCAGGCTCAGCAGTTGTGATGCACGGGCTTAGTTGCTCCGCGGCATGTGGGATCTTCCCTGGCCAGGGCTCGAACCCGTGTCCCCTGCATTGGCAGGCGGATTCGTAACCACTGCGCCACCAGAAGCCCCAGAAGTAATGACTTAATCGGGTGTGTGTGTATGTGTCATCGGGTGTATGAGTACATGTATAATATACACATAGTAAAAAAGCAGGCATTCCTTTTCTTACATACAAATTTTAATTACATTAAGTGTCACCTTGTTTGAAGCACTGCAGATAAAAACTGGAGATAAGAAACCCTCCATCCCTCGTCTCGGTTTACTGACCGCTTCCTGTGGGTGGAGGGGTGGCTATGACCCACCCCCCGCATTCCCTTGCCGGCTACGCTGTTGTGAGTGCCTGATGTATATTTGCCGTTCAATGAATATTTGTTGATCGTGTGAATGAAACATCAATACTCTGAATATCTGTGCAGAGTTAAGTGGGAAAATAAGCTTGTCAGATCAGAGAGGTTTTACTTGAAGAACAGGGGGTTTATACCTCTCAGAAACAACATGATGAGTGAGAGCCCACACCCGTTCTGTGCTGGAGAGGCGGGCCGTCTGGGTGGGAAAGAGCCTGGCGCCGGTGTCAGAGCCAGAGCCCGAACCCTGGCCTCGTTCATCACACACCTCTCCCTGGGACGGTCTTCCGTGGAAGTCAGCTTGAGAAGGATGTTTCTACTGGATCTGGTGGAATAAATAGTGGTAGTAATAACAACAGTAATGGCTAAATGAGTCTGTGCCAGGCACGTTATTTGATGCATTCAGTTCTCAAAACACCTATGAGAAAGGTACTTTGGTTGCAGAAATTCCGGTCTATGGAGGTTAAATTGCATTGCAAGTAGTGAAGCTATATAGGTTTTACCCTAGAAAATTATTCCTTCAGTGTTTAGAAATGTTTAAATTTTGTATAAGTTAATATTGGCTTCAAGCTTACATTTCAGAAATGGTTTTAATATATACAATTATTGATTTTTCAATATTAGAAACTACGATTATTATTATTACTTGTGTTAAAAGTAGTGCCCGTTATTATACACGTCACATTCCTCTTCTACAGGGAGAGCAAGGCTTCGAAGGTAGCAAAGGAGAAATTGGTGGAAAGGTAAAGATCACTTTTCATACTCATTTGTAAAACTAAATTGTGTTCTTGAAAATATTTTGAACTAGAACATTTAACTTGTTTTTGTGCTTTCCATAAAAGCAATTCAATGATTTTATAGAAATAATTTAAAATATGTGCTTCACCTAAGGTAGACTTACCATATCGATGACTGTCATAAATCTTTCTACACTTGTTTAGGTGGTAGTTATTTCTACATATTTCTAGTTAAATCATAAATAATTCAGACATTTATTAAGCATTATATTTTTGTGCTGCAACATCATTGATGTGCTTATGAAATGTCCAAGTCTAAATAAATGCTTTGTTTATATGTACACCTAGTTTATCAGTGGAGTTTTTCCTGAGGAAATAAATAAGTAGAACTAATTGTAATAGTCAAGGTCCAACAGAAAAGGGATGGCACATTCAAAATAGAATAGTGTGGAAGAGTTGAATAAAGGGAATGTTTAAAAGGCAGGGGCAACATTTAGGAAAACCGTAAGGATTGCGCAATATTCCAGACTGGGTTATAGGGAACGCCTTAAACCCCGCCAGATTACTGGTTACCAGACTCAGAGGTAAAGAAAGCCATGTGGAGAGGGCTGCAGGTTGCAGCTGAGAGAAGCTGTTAACCCCTCCATTCAAGCAGTCGTTTCACAGCTTTGTACTCAAAGTGTAGAGGATAGAAGTGTCTTAGTCATCTAGAATTTCCCTTCACACAATCATTTGCATCCTTCTGCATTTCATGTGTCTAGTTTTATTTTCAAATAGAACAAAAACAGCACCATTCCTTTGTTTCATGAACTGCCATGTAATTGGACAGCCAGAGAGATCATCTCAGATTAGACTGTGTGGCCTGTGTTGAGTTTGCTGAGCCGTTGTCAGGTATTTGCTTCTTCAGTAAGTATTTATAGACAGAATGAGCGTCCATTATTATTATAAGACAAATTACACATGTTGTAAGCTACTTGCTAATTACTTTTCCTCACAGAACAGTGAGGGGGAAGGAAGGATAGCCATATAATTATCGTATAATTGAAGAGAAGTCCATTGAGAGATGACTGTTTTTTAAGCGGATCCTCCTTCTTAGGAATCTCTTGAATATTTTTCCTTTAGAATAACCATCATTGCAAGACCATGGCTTTAAATAAATGCTTTGCATATTCCTGTTTTATTAATGGGACTTTACCTGTAGGAACAAGTAAGAATAAGCAAGGAAAACAGATATATTCTCTGTAATTTAAAGTCGCCATCTCACTAGAATCTTAGTGGCTATTTTGATATTTTAGATATATGGTTGGTATTGCTTAGTAATAAATAGATTCTCACAGGCTATGAGGTATTGAAAAACATTCAGTACATCTGGCTTCAAAGATTTCCCTTCTAATTCCTCATATCTGTTAACTGTTGCCTTCAAATAGTCCCTGTCACCAAGAGGTGAAAATATTTATGGAGAATATGGTTATCAGGAAGAAATAAAGCACCAAGTAGAAAAGACAATGTCTTGAATGAGAATTACAGCTTAAATGGTTTATAGTCAAATGTAAGATTCACATAACGCTTATGTTAAAAATATGTTCTGCTTTGATTTTTATTTACCATATATGGGATGTTTGAGTTTCTTCAGTGTTACATGCTGTGTATTATGATACATGACCACACATATTTGTCCATAAGATAAATAGTTGATATCCAAGTATTCATTTCTAGATTAGAAACTTTTTGTTTCTAGATTAAACAAGAAAAGTATGTGAGGCACTCATCTCTGTGTGACACCAGAATGAGATTCTTGGACTGCTTGCAACACAATTTGTTTTCTGAATAAAGACAATCTCATTTGAATTTCAATTCTTTGTGGAAAACTGAATATATAGTGAAAATAAGGCTCACCTTTCTTCTTTAATTACCTTAATGTGGCCTCTACTGTGTTTAAAATTTGACTGTTATAAATGACAAAATTCATGAGTTGCAAAATGAAATAATTCAGGAAGTTGCTGTTGTTCAGAGATATCATATCTACCAAAGCCATGTGGCTACTGACCAAAAAAGGAAGTTTATCAACTGTCAAAGAGAAAATACCATATGATGGTTTTCAGGTGATATTTCTATAATCCAGTATAAACCACGTAAAGAAATCTGCTGCTTTTCTTTATGGCTAGAAAACTAGCTTTCAGGCCAGCTTGACCCAAGCTGGACTATCACGGGGTTCCTCAGTGTATTGAAGATGCTGCCCTCATTCCAGAAAAGAACCCCTGGAACTTGAGCAAGTATAGCAGACCTCATCTGAAAGCATATTCCTGAGTCTGTCTACAGCAGCTTATAACAGGGCAGAAACTCACGCCTCATTACCTAAGCAAACACAGTTCAGCCAAGTCAGTCCTAAAGTGAAAATTATTTGAAGGGGTGGTTCTTTCTCTCAAAGATTAGTTTCTGATGCTGGCAAGACTCTCCCAGAGGACAGCTCTCTTCAGGTTTGCCACGTTCTGGTTTATCTTAGGAACGACCTCGCCCCACTGACCTGTTACTGGCTGGAGGATCATTCAGGGATCCCTGGATCCCTGACAGCATAGCCCATGAGGCAGGAGAGGGGATGTCTATATTCTGGCTGAGGAATAGACCCCCAGCTGAGGTCTACATTCTGATTTCTCTGTTTCTATAGGAGTGGTCTTAAACATCCCTTCTTTGGGGGATTTTCCTTAGGTTCCTTCAGTATTACTGTAGATGTTATATGGCTACTACTAGCAGTAAACAAAATGAAGAGTTCACTCTTCTTTTTTTAAAAATTTATTTTATGGAAGTATAGTCGATTTACAATGTTGTGTTAGTTTTTGCTGTATAGCAAAGTGATTCAATTATACATATATATACAATCTTTTTCATATTCTTTTCCATTATGGTTTATTACAGGATGTTGAATATAGTTCCCTGTGCTGTACAGTAGGACCTTGTTGTTTATCCATCCTATATATACTAGTTTGCATTTGCTAACCCCAAACTCCTACTCCATCCCTCTCCCCAACCTTGGCGACCACAAATCTGTTCTCTACGTTTGTGAGTCTGTTTCTGTTTTGTAGATAAGTTCATTTCTGTCATATTTTAGATTCCACATATAAGCAATACATGATATTTGTCTTTCTCTGTCTGACTTACTTCACTTAGTATGATAATCTCTAAGTCCATCCATGTTGCTGCAAATGGCATTATTTCATTCTTTTTTATGGCTGAGTAGTATTCCATTGTATATATGTACCACATCTTATCTATTCATCTGTCGATGGACATTTAGGTTGCTTCCATGTCTTGGCTGTTGTAAATAGTGATGCTGTGAACATAGGAGTGCATGTATCTTTTAGAATTATAGTTTTGTCCAGATATATGCCCAGGAGTGGGATTGCTGGATCATAGGGTAGTTATATGTTTAATTTTTCGAGGAACCTCCATTATGTTTTCCCTAGTGGCTGCACCAATTTACATTCCCACCAACTGTGTAGGAGGGTTCCCTTTTCTCCACACCCTCTTCAGCATTTATTATTTGTAGATTTTTTAATGATGGCCATTCTGACTAGTGTGAGGTGGTGAAGAGTCCACTCTTTTTTTTTTTTTTTTTTTGCAGTACGCGGGCCTCTCACTGTTGTGGCCTCTCCCGTTGTGGAGCACAGGCTCCAAGAGTCCACTCTTGATGACAGTTATCCCCACTGTCAGCCTTCCTCATAATGACATAGCCAAACCAACTCTTGTTATACAACCAAGGTAGATGCAAGAGCTAGGCTCTGAATATCACTTTAGAAAAAGGCCATCTGGCAGGGGTTCAATGAAGTGATCACCATTCCTAAACACTGAGCCCAGATCTTTACTTTAGATCTTTGAGAAAATAGGAGTATTACTCGGTTGCATTTATGAAAAGGAGCAAATAGAAAAGCAAATGTAAACATCTGCTTCATAATAGAATTTGATACAGATCATGTAATTTAGTTTGCTTTTAAAATTCTCATTCTTGTATGTTGTCAATCAAACCCTAACTGACTTAAAGTTTAAAAACTAATTTCTTCAGCATTAAACTTGATTCTGCTGCACTTTACTGTTAACATATCATTTAGTCGTGAGAGAGAAACATCCAGTGGCAACTGTTACTCTCGCCACAGTGTTCCTGACATTTTCTAGCTAAAACGTTGTCGATTTTGGTTCATTCAAGAGTGACGTTTAAGATAATATGGGCACACATGGCAGCAAATCTTTACAGGGATCTAAGATGTTTCAGCAACTGTGAAACTTTTCCATTTGATATTGAGATTATCTGGTCTCTTCAAGATCTCTTAAGTTTAATGAAAAGAAAAGAGAACAACCAAATTGCTTTTTGTCATGAACCATGTGGCTCCAGGAGATGTGGACAGTGTGCAACAGTTCACGTGTTCTGTAGTCTAGAGTGTTCATGTTTCAACAGTTTCTGACTTACGGGCATTACCTACTTTCGTCATCTTGATCAATGATCTTTTCTTTCACCCTGAGTTAAACTAATAACAATAACCATAACCATAATACTAACAAATGCATATGATTCCTGCTTTAATTTATCTCTGAAAACTTTGGAAAACTGGTTGCTATAAATTTCCAGTGACTTGTGATTTTTATTGTCTTCTTACCAGAGTGTTGTCTAGGTCCTGAAATGCCATATATTTATTTAAATCAGAAAATTATATTTAAATATTTATTACCCTGGTTTTATAGCTGTTGCAAATAATTTACCTGACAGAATCCACTGGAGAAACATCTAACTGATGCCTATTTAGTTGATTTATTTGACCACGTATTATTGTATTGTATCACTGCAATATAAGGTAGTATAATTTGTAATATAATTTTGTAGAAAATGTGATATTCAAATGAATAAAATTATTAAAATATCTATTGTAATGTATGGTTAAGTACAAGTACGCTTTACTAATCCAAAATTATCTCGGTTATTTATAATTAAGGCATGCATCCAATCATCTGTATTTCTT